GTCCTCTTCAATGTGTACCGCGCAGTCCAGGAAGGCCAAACTGTTTTTGTGAACATCACAGAGTTGATGTGTTCTGTGAAGGCTTGCACTTCCTGGCTTTTAATTTTGACCCAGGTGTCGTCCACATATCTGTACCAGTGGCTCGGTGCTGTTCCTCTGAAGGAGTTGAGGGCTTTATTCTCCACTTCTTCCATGTAGATGTTTGCCACAATCAGGGATAGTTGGCTGGTAACCACACCCTGCTCAGTGCTTTTGGAATTGAAGAGCAGGATAACAAGAGTAAAATGTTATTTAATACACATTAAATGAAACTGTAATTCAAGTGTTTGAACTACCTTTAAAAGTGTTTTATATTTCTGATAGTCTGTATAGGCGATAAAAAGAATGTAAATGAATCACAATTTCTGCCAAATGTGTCTTTTAAAAATGGTTTCTGTCTTGACCAAATGACAAAAAAACAAACACATGTTCTATCCAGCCCTGATTTGTCTTCTGTGTTCGGAGACTATGTGGACAGCTCAGACCCGTCACCTGCTACGGTGCGGCCAGATGCCAGTGATTATTACAGTAACTTTATAAAAAATGTAGTGTGCCTTAAAATAATTATAATTGATAAAACAGGTTTATTACTCATTCCTCCGAATTATAGCCTACTTATCAGCCCTTTTTAAAACAATCATTTAAATTTAGAACAGTATTTGAATAGATTTAATAGCAAACCTATTATATGAACTAAATAACTGGAAATACATGTAATAATGTCAGTGTCAATATAAAATAAATAATATTCCTAAAGATTTCAGACACAAGGTATGAAATGTTAATGTGAAAGGTAACACACACACACACACACACACACACACACACACACACACACACCTGTCTATAGATTTGTCTCACTCTTACCCCTGCCTCGGCTAATCTAGTCCTTTCTCCCAGTACTGTTTCCTTCCCAGATTATTTCCCACACTGTTTTGAACCTGGTATCTTATTTCCTCTACCTGCAGCTCTCGGTGTGCAGCAGTCTCTGTGAGCATCTCCCTCTTGTTTTCTCATAGCAGTCAGCCTTGGCAGCGGCTGCAGGACTACAGCAGGTCAGTCATAGTGAGCCAGTCCCAAATACTGTCTGCAATCTTTACATCTTGTCATGGTCACATCAGCTAATATATCTCCTATGTTTGTTATAATATCTCTAGTCACAGATCACCTCCAGTAGAATCAGCAGCAACAAAAGCAGCAGCAGCAGCAGCAACCCCTCAACAGCAACTGTTCACTGTAAGTTATGTCAGCCCACCGTGTTTTAAAGCTCGATTTGGGTATTCCCTGTGTTTCTTTTTCAAAACTGTGTCACAGCATTTGTTGATGTATCGATACAGAAGCATTTGTATATGCATATCATCAAGGAATACATAACTATATAATTCTATATCGATATTTTGCGAACAGCCCGATTTAAATCCTTGTTCCATGTGCCCCTTTTATACTTTGAGCACCTGCCCTTCCAAAGGTCTCTGCACGGCCCTGTGAAATACTGATTTATATGAAATATTCAGTCACATTTATTTAGATAAAATTTCACTATATTTACGTAATACTTCCTGTTGTTAGTGTTTTGTAGGTCTGTGTGTTATGAGTGACAATGTTTGCTTTCTGAGTGAGTATTGTTGTCAGTGTTTTGGTTGAACAAGTTTATTTTCAGGCTTGTATGAAGTGTTTTGGTGGTTTGAGTGACTTTTGGAGGTGAGATTAACTGTTTGGCCAAGATGCATGTTGGTAATGCAGAGTGTGTGAAGAGTTTTGAAAAAGTTTAATATTTTAATGTGCAGTCTCTTGTGTGCTGACTTTTGCTTGGCCTCTGGAGACCTAAGGGCGTACATGTTCATATTTCACATAAGACGTTGATGTCCAGTAAAGAGGAAGTGAAAGTCTGCTGTTGCTGGCCACTCGACCCTTTAGAAAAATATGACAGATGTGTGGATCTCACGCATGAGTGGAGCCGTGAAAGGAGGTGTGAAAATAAGAAGATCAGCAAAAAAGGCACTATTTAGTTTATTAGTGGACCAAATCCATGACAACCCAGAGTTGAGACCAGGAGGCAGAGTCGCAGTTTAACACACTTCTCTGCCCTTCTTTTTCAGCAGTTACCCACCCAAAACCCTACGCAGAGTCGCAGTCTAACACACTTCTCTGCTCCTCCATTTCAGGAGTTACTTAGTGAAAATCCTATAGTGACGGTGTCTGTCCCCCGACCATCGAAATTATTTAAAAAGGTAAACAGAAGAGGAGCTGTGCATAAAAACCTCATAAAAATTAAAACCACAAGAGCAATAGTGCAAACGAATAGGAGAGTTAAATGTGGACTCTTAAACATCAGATCTCTCTCTTCTAAAGGTGTACTAGTAAATGAACTAATATCAGATTATGATATTGATTTATTTGGTCTTACTGAAACCTGGCTGGGTGATGGAGAATATGTTAGCCTAAATGAATCCACCCCTCCCAGTCATATTAATACTCACATTCCTCGAGGCACAGGCCGAGGAGGTGGAGTTGCAGCTATCTTCGACTCTAGCCTACTAATCAGCTCTAAACCTAAACTAAACTATAACTCATTTGAAAGTCTTGTTCTTAGTCTTTCGCACCCAAGTTGGAAATCACTGCAACCAATTCTTTTTGTTATAGTGTACCGAGCACCTGGTCCGTATTCTGAATTCTTATCTGAATTTGCAGAGTTGTTGTCAACTTTAGTCCTTAAAACGGACAAAGTTATTATTGTAGGGGATTTTAATATTCATGTGGATGTTGAGAATGACAGCTTCAGTACTGCGTTTATCTCTCTGTTAAATTCCATTGGCTTCTCTCAGAGTGTTCATGAACCGACTGTTTTAACCACACCCTCGACCTTGTTTTGGTATATGGTATTGAAATTGAACATTTAGTGGTGTTCCCACAGAATCCCTCTTTGTCCGACCACTGTTTGATAACTTTTGAGTTTGTATTGCTGAACTACACGCCATTGGGCAAAAATTTCTATACAAGATGTCTGTCTGATAGTGCTGTAGCTAAATTTAAGGATGCGATTCCATCAGCTCTAAATACATTATCTAGTCACAAAGTAACGGAGGACTCCTATGCTAGTTTCAGTCCCTCCCAAATCGATCATCTTGTTGATAGTGCTGCAGGCTCGCTGCGAATGACACTGGACTCTGTAGCCCCTCTAAAAAAGAAAATACTAAAACAAAGACGGTTAGCTCCATGGTATAATACTGAAACTCGCAAATTAAAGCAAATATCACGGAAACTTGAGAGGAATTGGCGTTCCACCAAAGTGGAAAATTCTCGTTTAATTTGGCAAGATAGTCTTAAAACTTATAGGAAGGCCCTCCGTAATGCCAGAGCAGCGTACTACTCGTCATTAATAGAGGAAAATAGGAACAACCCCAGGTTTCTTTTCAGCACTGTAGCCAGGCTGACAAAGAGTCACAGCTCTATTGAGCCAAGTATTCCCATAGCTCTCAGTAGTTACGATTTCATGAGCTTCTGCTATGATAAAATTCTAGCTATTAGAGACAAAATTCACCAAGACCTGCCCTCAACTGGCACCGACTTATCTCTTAACTCAGGAACCATAGAAACAGCTGTAGAACCAGATATATGTTTAGACTGTTTTGCTTCCCTCAATCTTTACCAACTAACTTCAATAATTTCTTCATCTAAACCATCAACCTGCCTCTTAGACCCCATCCCGACTAGGTTGCTTAAAGATGTTTTACTCTTAGTCAGCACCTCTATACTAGATATGATCAATCTATCTTTATCAACAGGCTATGTACCACAGTACTTTAAAGTAGCTGTAATTAAACCTCTTCTGAAAAAGGCCAAACTTGATAGACCTATATTTAACCTTCCATTTCTCTCTAAGGTCCTGGAGAAAGCAGTTGCTAAACAGCTGTGTGACTTTCTACAGAGCAATAGTTTATTTGAGGATTTTCAGTCAAGATTTAGAGTTCATCATAGCACAGAGACAGCACTGGTGAAAATTACTAATGACCTCCTTATTGCATCAGACAAAGGACTTGTCTCTATACTGGTTTTATTAGATCTTAGTGCTGCATTTGATACCATTGACCATCAGATACTATTGCAGAGACTGGACCACTTCATTGGAATTAAAGGAACCGCTCCAAGCTGGTTTAAGTCCTATTTATCAGATTGATTTCAATTTGTACATGTTAACGATGAGTCCTCCATGCATGCCAAAGTTAGTCATGGAGTTCCACAAGGATCTGTCCTCGGACCAATCCTCTTCACTTTATATATGCTTCCTTTAGGCAATATTATCAGGAAATGTTCCATAAACTTTCATTGTTATGCAGATGATATATCTATCGATCAAACCAGATGAAACTCATCAGTTAGCTAAACAAATGTTAGTTAATGTTCAAATGTGCCTTCAGGATGTTAAAACCTGGATGACCTGTAATTTTCTAATGTTAAACTCAGATAAAACTGAAGTTATTGCTCTGGGGCCTAAGCACCTCCGTGACGCATTATCTAAAGATATAGTTTCCCTGGATGGCATCGCCCTGGCCTCCAGCACCACTGTGATTAATCTTGGAGTTAACTTTGAACAGGACATGTCGTTTAAGTCTCACATTAAGCAAATTTCAAGGACTGCCTCTACTTTCTCTCCCTCTGTATGCAACCTCATCCCATTATTGCATGTTACTAACACAACTTGTCCCCTTTCTGGTAGTCTTGTGCTTTCTCGTCCCTCTCCTCACTCCTCCTGTCACTTCCTGCAGGTGTTTCTGGCTCTGGAGCTGTGGAGTCTGGATCTGTGGCTGCGGGTCACCTGCTGCCCCCGTGTTCCTGCTCGACACCCTCTGCTGCAACGACTATTGTTACTAGTCCTATTGTTATTATAATCATTAACATTACAATTGTTATCATTAACATTACTATACATATCTATACCATTTTTCATTTAGTCTATAGCATCATCACCTTTACTGTCTGTACTTCTGTGTGTATATCGTGTAGGCTGCCTCCCTCCTGCTTCAATGACATGTATTTAATACATATGGACATAAAACCGTAACAGCACGATAAACTGTATGTTCACTTCACTATGATGCGCAACAAAACATAAGCAGATCTTAAAGCAGATCTTTAATGTTCCAAAAATGATAACTAATTTTCAACCAAAATCAAGTCATGAATGAATATGTTAAATAATGTCCCTTTTACTTGTTCTTTTTCATTGTGTTTTCTTCTCTGCAATGCTAAAAATAAAATATTCTGATCAGTACATTTTTTAATTATGTTTGCCAGCTAGCCTGGCTCTAACATTCTGGACAATAACGTTTTTTATAACGTATTTATTGCTTTTATTACTTTTCTTTATTGCCAATGTGCATATAATAAATATTTAAGATTTAAGAATATATTATGTGTAGGATAAAACATCCAAATTAATTACTTTTGCACACTGTACATTAAACATAATCCTCCTAGGGAGTAATATTTGCTGTCAAGCGCATATTGACCACATATAAGGAAGCTGCAACTTGCAATATAGCAATCCAGCCTTGGCTGTACAAAAATACTGGGCGTACAACTGTTTTCCATAAACCAGGCAACATTGCCGTCAATGGTAATGAGTAAAGATTACTACCGTAATCTCTTTTCCCCGCCACTCTGCTACCCGCCCCGCCCCGTCCGCTATAAGTTCAAAACATTGTCGGACTTGCAACTTGCAAGATTGCCCAGCAACATTGCTCAAAAAGTTGCCCCGTGTATCATCAACTTATGTGCTTGGGAGCAACACTCATGGCTCTGTGATGCTGCTGTGAGCTAAATGCTAACCACAGCACACTAACATGCTGATGTTTAGCTGGTATAAAGTTTACCATGTTCACTATTTTCATTTAGCACGTTACTTTGATAACATACACTAATTAGCACAGTACAGCTGATGTTGATGGGAATGTCATTAGTTTAGCAGGCTGCTAGTGCAAAACTTTTAATGGGAGTGTTTAACAGAGCTGCGAGCCCTCGGAGATCAGAATCAGTTTTTGGTCTCAGCGCCTGGACGACAAAGAAAGATGAGATGCATGTGTTTTGCACCTAGTTTATATCTAACAGGCCTCGCCTACAATAATTTGGCAACACTAAAGGAAGTTACAGATTGGAATATCAAAAACCAAATGGATAGTTGTTTTTTGACTCATCAAATTAATTAATTAAAATATTTTAAAACAATTTGATCTACAGCAGTGGATGGTAGTTAATATATATCGAAATCTTCATTTTCTCCATAAATGTCCACAGTTTGTTTAACAAATGGCTGGGTTACATTTACATAGTTGTCTTCATCATCACTGCTTTCTTCTTCTTCTTCTTCTTCTTCTTCTTTTTCTTCTTCTTCTTCTTCTCTGTTGTCCTTCACACTGAAACAGACCACTGTGGCTTTTATAGAATTGGCATCAGGGCCAGCTTCCTCATAATCATGATCTTCATCATCACTGCTTTCTTCTTCTTCTCTCTTTTTCTTTACCCCGAAACAGACCACTGTGTTCTTTATAGCATTGGCATCAGGGACCGCTTCCTCATAATCATGATCTTCATCATCACTGCTTTCTTCTTCTTCTTCTTCTTCTTCTTCTTCTCTGTTGTCCTTCACACTGAAACAGACCACTGTGGCTTTTATAGAATTTGCATCAGGTACTGCTTCCTCATAATCATGATCTTCATCATCACTGCTTTCTTCTTCTTCTCTCTTTTTCTTTACACTGAAACAGACCACTGTGTTCTTTATAGCATTGGCATCAGGGACCGCTTCCTCATAATCATGATCTTCATCATCACTGCTTTCTTCTTCTTCTGCTTGTTCTTCTTCTCTCTTTTTCTTTACACTGAAACAGACCACTGTGTCCTTTATAGAACTTGCATCGGGGCCAGCTTCCTCATAATCATGATCTTCATCACTCTTCTCTTTTTCCCTTCTCCCTGCTTCCTTTGTGAGATTCCCTGGGTCAACATTCACATAGTCCTGCTCATCCTCCTCCTCATCATCATCTTCATAATCATTACTGCCTCTGACAGACACTGAAACACAAGCATCAGGACAAAATGTTTCATGATTATCAGAATCAAATTAAAACACACATATTGGATGGAAGTGTATTTTGAGAAAATGAAAAACCAAACAGAAACTTTCTAATGTCATGTACTATGTGTCCTGGTGAGCACACACATTGAGTTTGGAAGATGGTTCCAGGCTGCTTGGCTCGTCGTCTTCTCCTGACAACCAGACAGACCACCACCAAGACCAGCAGGAGCAGCAGCAGACCCCCACCTGCTACTGAGGAGACCAGCGGCAACAAAGGCACTAGGAGAGAAAGCATTGAACAGTTTAACATGAAAACTGTGTCCATTTTACCATTGGGATAAATAATATACTCTAATGCAACCTGCATCCATCAGTTCTATTATCAATTGCTGTTGGTGTCCTGTGTGAAACCAAGTCAATGTTGAGTAATTTTAACTTGAAAACCTATGGCCCTATTCTACCATATGGTACCAGCTCAACTCTACTCATCTTTTTATGGTTTTCCGATGGAGAAAAGTTGTACCTGGTTCCAAGCAAGCTGAGTCAAGCAGAGTCGACACCATAAGGTGACATGAAAACACAGCAGACTGCTGACTGGACAGAGAGAATCCTCACTATTCACTGTATCATCATTGCGTGCGCCAGTTTGGGGCCAGTGTTTTATGTTTTACAATGTTCGTATGCTATTTCATTACTAACAATAATGAATGTTAGTGCTTTCTAAATGCAATGAGCACTAGCAGATTGGCCGTCAGGAGAGTTGGGATTTCCTGGTGGCCTGTGGGCCATTTTGGCCTGCCATTAAATGTCACCTTGACCAGCAATAATCTAGCAAGCAATCTACCAATTTGATCTACAGCAGTGGATGGTAGTTAATATATATCTAAATCCTCATTTTCTCCATAAATGTCCACAGTTTGCTTAACAAATGGCTGGGTTACATTTAAATAGTTATCTTCATCATCACTGCTGTCTTCTTCTTCTTCTTGCTCTTCTTTTCCTCTGTTGTCCTTCACACTGAAACAGACCACCCCGGCCTTTCTGTGTGGAGTTTGCATGATCTCCCCATGTCTGCGTGGGTTTCCTCCGGGTGCTCCGGTTTCCCCCACCATCAAAAACATGTTAAGTTCTCCAGTCAGTGCCATTGACTAGACACTGACACATACATCTGGAGTTGGTCCTCGGGCGCTGCACACTTCATAATGGTTGTTGCCTCTGACATTCATGAAACACAAGCATCAGGACAAAATGTTTCATGAATGTCAGAATCAAATTTGTCATTGTTATAACTCACCCTGGTCCGTGTTGGAATGCAGCTGTCCTCACAGACGCTGATGTAGGACGTCACAACCTCTGTAAACTCATCCAGATGTTTGGTAGCATTCTTGAAAACATCCCAGTCAGTACAGTCCAAACATGCCTGGAGGTCCTCAACAGCTTCACTAGTCCACTTCTTTGATGTCCTCACTACAGGTTTACAGAGCTTTAGTTTTTGCCTGTAAACAGGAATCAGATGGACCATCACGTGATAAGAGTGTCCCAGTGGAGCGCGTGTGACAGCGTGATAGGCACTGCTAACTGTGGTGTAGCAGTGATCCAAAGTATTCCCCTCTCTGGTTGGACACTTTATAAACTGTCTGTATTTGGGGAGTTCTTGGCTAAGATTTCCCCTGTTAAAGTCACAGAGAACAATAACAAGGGAGTCTGGGTTCGTCTGCTCCACACACAGTCCGGTATCAGCTCACACAGCCACGTCTCCGTGAAGCACAGAACAGAAGTCTCTGTTTTTCCCCACCAGAAGCTGAAGTTCGTCCAGTTTGTTGCACAGTGAGCGCACGTTGGAGAGAAATATTGCCGGTAGCGGTGTGTGAAGTCCCCGCCGGCGAAGACGCACAAGCGACCCAGCTCTTTTCCCTCTCCTGCGGCGCTTCACAGCGCGAACGACAGCGAGCGAGCTCTTCACTAAAATGTCCAATAATTCCACTGATGAAGTAAAGAAAAGTAAGAATTTAATCCGCTGGAGTTGTTCCCCTGATGTTCATGAGCTCCTCCGTGGTGAAAGAGCTCCGGGAATCACAGCCGAAAACTGAATTAACACACACAAACAAAACAAAACAAAGCTCACCTAACACCGAGGCAGCTATACTCAGCGCCATCTTGGATATATAGATATATATAGAAGACCTCACATAATTAACTGTTATGTTTTTATCACATTAGAATGAGCCGTTTCTGTCAACATAACCACGGGTCCCCACTTTCATGGTCACTATTTTGTGCCGTCATGTTTCTACAGTAGCCAAAAACGGACAAACAGCGCTACAGAGTGAAAGAAATACAGAATCAGAAATACTTTATTGATCCCCGAGGGGAAATTCTGATTCACAGTTGCACACATTGCACAAAAGGCAAAAGGAATCAGTGTTGGGCAGTAACACGTAACACAGTAAAGGGCTTGAGTGTTCTTGGTCCAGTCCAGTTGCATGTGCACTCCCACGTATTTGTAACCCTCCACAATGTCCACACTGACCACCTGGATGGAAAAAGGGGTGACTGGTGCCTTGGCTCTCCTTAGATCTGCAACCAGCTCCTTAGTAGATGAGCAGTTGAGCAGGAAGATGATGGCGTCCTCAACTCCCAGTTGGGGCTGGTAGGCGTACTGGAGGGGGTCCAGGAGAGATCTGACCATGGGCCGCAGCTTTTCCAGAAGCAGTCTCTCCAGGGTCTTCAAAATGTGCGAGGTCTCTGATATGCAGCTGGCCCTGTCCAAGCAGCCTTCAACTCCTCTGCTGCCAGTCGGTCTGAAGCCAGTGATGTTCCTCATGCCGCTCCCGGCCTTCCTCATGTTGTTCTGCTGGAGTTTACGCCTCAGCTTACTCCTGTATTTCTCCTTAGCCTCCCTGATCTTCACCTTCAGGTCCCCCTGAATGGCCTTCACCTCCTCCCTATTACCTTCACTGAAAGATCTCCACTTTGCATTCAGAATGTCCTTTATGTCCTTTGTTACCCACGGTTTGTTGTTTGGGTAACAATGGACAGTTTTTGTTGGGACAGTTGCTGTCCACACCGAAGTTATTGTAGTCTGTGATACACTCAGCAAGCCCATCTATGGCCTCTCCATGTGGCTCACAGAGAGCATCCCAGTCTGTCATCTCAAAACATCCCTGAAGTATCTCATAGGCCTCCTCTGACCATCAGGCCGCAGGCTGCCTTTTCACCAGAGTCAAATAGCAGGGATTGTTGTGAACCAGGTTGTGGTCTGACCTGCCCAAGGGTGGAGGGGGAATGAACTTTATGCATCCTTAACGTTAGCATACAGCAGTCCTCTCCTCTCTAGTATGGCAGCTCACATACTGGGTGAAGTTGGTAAGTGTGGTGGTCATGGTGACGTGGTTGAAGTCACACGAGATTACTATGAGGGCGTTCGGGTGTTGAGTCTAGTTATTTATCTTGAGCCGAAAGCTTGTGGATCTTCGTCATCAAAGAAGCGAAAACAGGATGAACCCAGAGAAGTTGGGACAGATGCAGACAGATGAGGGCAGAAATAAAGGATCGAGTCGTGGATTTTCCCAGATGGAAGGGGCTGATGCGGGACAAATGTTTTCAAAATGGCACTGAAGTTGTCTTTTCTCTGCTGAACAGGTAATTAAGTTAGAGCAACTTTGCAGATGCAAATGAATGGTTGTTTGAAGTAGCTTATCTTGTTCCGTTGTCAATGTTGTGAAATATGTAACGTTAGTTTGACTGTAATTTCATGTAACCTTATTACCAGAGCTGTAAGTTATCTTGGTTTTGCTAATGTTACATGGACAGAAATGTGTCACGTTTGTGAAACAATCAGCTGATTCATTGGAAATAAACCTGTACAGCAAAGAAGTTCATATCGGACAGCTAAACTTCACATTTTACTGCCCTGGTGGAAAAAACATATTTATTTTTACTGCAAACGCTGTATCGATAAGACTGTGTGCCCCGTGTGCCTATCAAGTGACCAATACTTTCGTTATTAGCATTAAAAAACATATTTGTTTGTAGGCTATTGCTTTGTTGCTGGACACACAAATGGTGCATTTCGATAATTCACAGGGTAAATGCCCGTTAAAAACGTTGCACCGTTTTACCACAAGCTAAAATTATGATTATTAGTACTACTTTGTGTTTCTGATGTATTCAAAAACTAAAACAGACAGTTTGGTAAGATTTGCATGCTTATCTAATTGACCTCACAATGCCTTTGTAAACTTCATGTAGGCTACTGTGTGGTTTATAATGGACTGTGGTGCAGAAACAATGAGGCTTACATTTTCCTGTTATCTGTGAGTGGTCATACTTGAACTAGATGAAATAGTTTTTGAGATGTTCTTCATTTACTTTATATGTATGTTAGTCCAGATGAGCCAACCCTCAGTATATTTTTTACAGTATAGTAAAATAATGTATTACAGGAGTATGCATAACATCATGTGGTACTTCATTTATTGATGTTGCTGTTGTTTGATGAACATCCATCCATCCATCTTCAACCGCTTATCCTCCGTTCAAGGTCGCGGGGGTTTGATGAACAATTAACAATAACATTCACAATATCATATGGTTTTACTGAATGATTCAGTAAATATAATTTATTAATATCTACCTAAAGAAACCTAATTTCTTGACTGGCATCTATATGCTGTCTCAGAGATGACACCTTTTGGCCACTGTAGCTATCCTATAGGCTTGGAAAGGGGAGGGAAGGGGCTGTGAGGAGTGTGTTGCAATTCACAATCCTCACCACTAGATGTAACTGAAATCTAAACACTTAACCTTCAAAAAATACATTAATCATAAAGTAACATTTGTGTTTCAAACAAATGGCAAACTTATATTAGCAAATTTTAACAAAACTCTCTTCACTGTCATGCATGATGGGAATTCTGAAGGGCAGACATAGGCTACTATGTGATAAATATGTGACTATATGATAAAAGAGGCAGAGGTGAGAAATCGGGAGTTGGAGGTGCAAGCCATGCATTTAAAGATAAGAGTTCTGGAGATAGAGCGGGGAGCCGCTACATCTGCCAGTTCTCCTACCTCACCATCACCCACTCCAAGACCCCAAGACAGCTTTGACGTGAGTAGGCACATTGCATTAGTTCCACCATTTAGAGAGTCTGAGGTAGACTGCTTTTTCAATGCTTTTGAACGTATTGCTGCTACACTGGATTGGCCAAAGAGAGTGTGGCCTCTGTTACTCCAATGTAAGTTAGTAGGCAAAGCTCAGGAAGTGTGTACCTCTC